GCCCGCGCCGGCCCGTTTCGGCCCGGATTGCAACCCTGTTTCTTCGTAATTTTTCAAATGATTTTTTTCGAAATTTTTGAAAAATTATCAAAAATTTGAAAAACTTCAAAAATTATTTATTGTTGAGATTTTGAGATGCTGAGATTCTGAGATGCTGAGATTCTGAGATTCTGAGATTCTGAGATTCTGAGATTCTGAGATTCTGAGATTCTGAGATTCTGAGATTCTGAGATTCTGAGATTCTGAGATTCTGAGATTCTGAGATTCTGAGATTCTGAGATTCTGAGATTCTGAGATTCTGAGATTCTGAGATTCTGGAGTTCTGAAATTCTGAGATTCTGAGATTCTGAGATTCTGAGAATCTGAGATTCTGAGATTCTGAGATTCTGAGATTCTGAGATTCTGAGATTCTGAGATTCTGAGATTCTGAGATTCTGAGATTCTGAGATTCTGAGATTCTGAGATTCTGAGATTCTGAGATTCTGAGATCCTGAGATTCTAAAATTCTAAAATTCTGACTTTCTTCAAAAAATTCAACATGTCAAACATTTTCAGAAGACGTTCCCGACGAAGACTCAATTGAAAACCAAGAGGAATTTCTGGAAATCTTGACAGATGATCTACACGAGTATTATATGGAGCATGGAATTACAAATTATGCTCTGAGGATTTTGAAAATTACAAAAATCGTCTGGGCCATGAAACGAGTACATGAGGATAATATGTGCGGAGAATTCACAAAATAATTAAAGGTGGTGTGCGGTGAAATTTTTATTGCTTTATTTTATGCTGAAATCTGTGTAGATTCCCATAAAAATATTAGGTTGTTCAATAAATAGTGGTCACTTTTCTTCAAGTAGTTTTTTTCTTCAAGGAAAACAAGAATCATTGAGAAATCATTTCGCCATTGGAGTTCATAACTTCTTGCCAGCGCAACGGAAGTTGGGCAATTCCGTTCGCGTAGAACTCTGGCGACTTAGAGGCAAAACAGTGTTCCAAAAATTTCTTGACATCCTTCCGATCATGGACTTTCTCACCAGCAAGACGATTCTGGAGAAATCGGATATGGTAGTAATTAGCTAGTGCCAGGTCGGCGGTGTACGATGGGCAATGCAAAACTTTGATTCCTAGAAGATGGAGTTTGTAACGGCTCTTCGAATATTTGTGTGGTTTTTCGTTGTCATGCAAAAATTTCAACACTGAGCCTCTCTAGAGGTGAGAGCGATGTGCACAAATACCACTTTCCATTTGAAAGCAGTAGAGCCAAAGTTGATGACATAGGAATCCGGAAGCAGCTTGCGGTATTTTACTTCAGCACTGTCTAACCGAATCGGAAAAATCTGATTTTTTCTTGAAGGTTGCCTTTTGAGACCGATTCCACCGTTTCCTTTGCAGAGAGCCGTAGGTACTTACTGGCATTGTTAACATACAGTACCCGTTCATCATCTCCAAAGATTGTTTTGTTGACCCAGTCCGTCGTCGGTTTCCTGGAGAGGAGAGAAACGGACAGGTCTCATCGGACCTTTTTCTAAAAATTGGTCAAAATGTGGGGAACGATTTGATGGACTCTCCGAGCTCTTCCCGTTTGAGAAACATGATCTGTCACGGTGCTATTAGGATGGTGGGCTGTCAAAGATAATGCACGCAAAGTAGCACAGAGCTTTTCCTCCAGTATCATTTAAATATTTTCATTTTTATTAAGGCTAGGCCTTTTGGGTATTGGTTTATGATCCAGATCATAATTCTCTTATTCGAATCTTTTGAACCAAATTTCAATCGTGGTTCGAGAGATGAGGTCTACGTCTAACATTTTGCACTCTGCTCGCTAATGGTCGTTGTTCGAGAGACCTTGGAGACATATGATCAAAGAAACACTTTTGAGTATGTGTCCGTTATCGAGAAAATCCTCGGCCGTTAGACAGTCCATTCGGAATTTTTTAATGTATATTAAACATGCAATGTGTGACGTCTATAAATATAAAAACAGAATTTAAAGAAATCCAAAATTAGATAAGCAACGGTAGAGCGAAGTGAAAGTGACCAGTATTTATTGATCAACCTAACAAAGAAAAAATTCAAAAAAATTCCTTCATCGAGAAAAACGCATCGAAAAATACGCTGAAAGCCCTTAGGGACGAGCTTTTTTTCTAGGCCGCCCGGTGAGTAAAAGCGCGCGAATTCAAACTTTTAAAATTTTTTCGCTCGTTTTCACTGTTTTTTCGGTTTTTTCAAAATTTTTCAAGGATTTTATCAATTTTTTTTTCCAGATACATCGGAAAACTTAAAACACAGTGAAAACGAGC